ACCTAAAATTATATAAAAGTAATATAAAAATATTATACCAAAAAATAATTTAAAAAAATCTATAAATTATTTCACATAATAAAGTAAGGCATTTGGTACTGAATCTATCGACGGCATCGTTTCTAAAACTAAAACAGAAAATGAGAAGAGTCTCGTTGTTCTGTTTCAAGCCGCTCGTTAAAAGGCGTTGAATTTTTTTGTTAAAGCGAAAATCGGAGCCCTTTGAAGTTTTGAATGCTAGATTGCTTTCATGGCGACAGCTTCACCACCATCTGTACGCTCTCTCCATAAGTCTTTTTTCCCGAAATCCCCCCGTCTTCCTCATAATTCGCACTTTCGTTCTCCTCGCTGGCGTTCTTCTCTCCGCTCCCGCTGTCCGATTCGTGCCACTTCAGCTGTTGCTCTGGAGCCGGTACACCGTACCATTTCCTTGTTTTCTCTTTCCTCTTATAAGCTCGTAGTTTTCCGTTCTCATTGGTTTTTGATTTTCTTTGTTTTTGTGTGGAAATTATGATTATGAGCTAACATTGCATTAAAGATAGAGCATAGAGTAGAGTTACGTTTGTTTACAGGAAATTAAGAGCATAGAACTTTTAACCTTTAAGTTTTTCTCTTCTTTTGTATCTTTATAATTGAGCTAATGAAGCCTTGACTTTTGCATTACTACCCTGGCTTCAATTCCTGCCTTGTGATGGTTATGTCCAATTTTATATTGGTTTGTTATAATTTGTAATGAACATATTTGTTGAATTGATTATATAGTGATGTGGTAAATACTGATTTATTGATATTATACATACTCATTGAATTGGTTTGTAATTGAAAATGGCACCCATCAAAAGAAAATATATATATATATATATATGAGAAAAGTGTTTGTCAGCCTGACCTCCCAAAAATTAGGAGGAAAATCATCCTAAAACTACGTCGTTTCAATAAACTTTTATTGAAAAAGACTAAACTACCCTATTTTTAAAGCATGCATTAAGGTGATATTTGTCCTTTTTCCTCCTAATTTTTGGGAGGTCAGGCTGACAAACACCAACCTCTTCAATCATAGGAGCTAAAACTAACTTAATTTATATTTCTGCCTTAGTTTAGGACATAAAAAACGAATTTTATGGTTTTTTGAGGATTTTTTAGGGCTTGTTACAACAGTTTAACTGTGGTGCTCAAGGCTTGTCTAAACTCTCTATTTATTTAGTTTTTATTGGTGCTTATGGAACTGAAGCAGCACAAATTTTTTCATAAGACTAGTTGATTCTCTTGTTCGTAATTGCATTAGGATTAACAATAAAATAATGTTGTTAGGAATCAAGCACTCAGCGGAATCAAAACATGGAAACTGACTTGTTTGCATGCCCAGTGTGCTATCAACCGCTGATAAGAAAAGGCCCTCCAGGTTTTAACTTGTAAGACAGGGTACATAGTGATGTCTACACAGGGTGCTACAGATTGCATTATTTAAACTTGTTTGGAATCTTTACTCAAGGTTTGAAATCATTGACTGCACAACGTGCAGGCAAGCTATCTATAGGTCTGGATTCAAGTGCAAAAAATGCAACAAGTCATACACCAGTAAGGATGTCTACCTTGATCTAACTGTTACTGCTGGATTGAGGGACTATACTGAGGTCAAACCAGCTCGGACTGAGCTATTCCGGTATGCATAGACCTTTTTGACTCCCGCATTATGATTTATACTTGATACCTTTCTGGTCAGGTTTGTTTTTTTAAACCCATTCTACAAAATAAGCTCAATCACTGGACTGATTCAGCCGTTATGTGACAAAGGAATTAAATCTAGCAACGTTTTTATTGTAGGAATTTTGATTCAATCAGGGAAGATTATCAGACTTTGTAATCAGAGAATTAAATCAACTGAAAACCACAGCTGAGATTCCACTCAGTCGACAGATCTCAGTTTTTAACATAAATCAAATGTAGACCTGTTTCTAGAAACAATTGTAGGAGTCAAACATGGAAGTCTTAATCTGGGTATTGAAAGCAGTGGATCGGAAAGCTGGGAGAATGAGGAATAATTAACATAATGATTTGTTTGAATATTGTGCCGAAGGAGGAAAGAATTAACTCCCACACTCTGCTATGAAATTTGATAGCTGATTGAATAGTTATACTTCTTAAACCTAAAGAACTATCATAAACTTCCCTTATGGGAGCTCTAAGTTACTGGTAGTCCTACATTGACTCGTAGCTGCTGTTCTATGGTGAGAAAAAATTTTTACTCAAAATTAGTCTCTAATGTTGTGTTCCATTAGTTTAAGCAAGAGTTATCACATCAGTCATTGGTTTTTGAGGTTAGGTTATAAATTAAACTATAAAACTATTCTTTTGATTTTAAACATATTTTACTTAACTTTTCTTTAGAATATGTAACATAAATATATTCTTCAGTGAGTTAGAGATACTACTATCTAATCTTTATATTCTTTCATCTTCCCTTAGGAGTCCTTTTGTATCATTCCTGTATGAAAGGGGCTGGCGTCAAAATTTTAATCGAAGTGGCTTTCCAGGCCTTGATGAAGAGGTACAGGTTATTTGGCTTGTAGCATATTAAAATATATCACCATGGATAATTAAATTAAACTCTTGGAAGCCTGAAGGAAAGAGTCACTTGTAGAAATTTATTTCTTATATATTTGTCTGCTTGGTCCCCCCCTAACTCATATAGAAGGGGAGGATAACTTGTCCTGCAAGATGGATTCTACCTATTAAAATTGTTGTCCTCATGTCTTTTGGCTTATTTGTTGAGCTTGTAAGCATGCTATCTGTAAATTCATGATTTTCTGTGTGCAATGTAGTTCAAAATGGCTCAGGAATATTTCAAACCAACTGAAGGTGGAATTTTAGTAGATGTTAGCTGTGGAAGTGGTTTGTTTTCTCGAAAATTTGCCAAGTCAGGGACATATTCTGGAGTAGTGGCACTTGACTTTTCTGAAAACATGCTCCAGCAATGTTATGATTTCATTAAGCAACATGCATCCCTTTTAGATAGGTAAGTGTCTCTTCATCTTTAAATTTATAAAGATGAAGATGTATTACATGTAAGATATTTTAAATTGTGTTTCATGCCTCTAAGAATTAATCACCACTCCATTGGAGATTGTGCAGCAATCTTGCTCTTGTGAGGGCAGATGTTTCTAGGCTTCCTTTCTCATCTAGTTCTATTGATGCTGTTCATGCTGGTGCTGCCTTGCATTGCTGGCCATCTCCTTCCAATGCTGTAAGTTTTGCTTTGCTCTCTTTTTTCCCACATTTAACCTTCCAGAAATTTTGGTTTCAGTCTCATAATAAGCTCTTATCCTCCATAATTAGTAAATTATTATTTAATTAAAAATAATTTTTAGTTGTGGGTCTCAAAAAACTGTCACATCAGCCAAAAAAAAAAGTTCAAGGAGCATTTTGAGGTTATTGAAAGTTTGTGTCATTGAAAGATAAAATATGAAAGCTAGAGACCATGTTGGATTAACCAATTAGAGTTAATGGCATTAATGACTAATTTAATGGACCTGACAGTTTCTGTTCATTGGGATCTTGTTTGAGAATTTCAATGATTTTGGGACCTTATTAGAGCACAATAAAACTTTGGGGCCTCAATTGAGAATTTAGTAAAACTTTGGGGCCTTATTCAATACTTAAGCCTAATGTATAATGGATATTTTTGTCAAGAATTTATTTTTGGGTCTGATCTGGATGAAGCAAATCACTGTCCTTTCATTTCATTTGCCTTTATGGTTTACCTTTGAACTGTACCTGATATGATATAAGGGATTGAAATGATAAATAGCCACAACACTCTGGTTTTATTTGAATTGCCCACTATCATATATGTTGTCATGTTTTAATCATGTCTAGGATTTCACATTTGCCATAGAAGTCAAGGAAGAGCAATATTTTACTAGAAGTGAAGCATGAATTTGGCTAGCTGCAGTATCTGGAAATTTACTCATGACATGAGCCCCCAGACAAGAAATTTTTGTTGCCTAAATCTGTTGATTACTTTCAAATGATTGGCTGGCAGTCTGTTGTGCCTTAAATACCCATGTAAAGTATTAAGTTATTGTCCTTTTAATCTTTGGCTTGGACCTTGATTTTTCTATATACCTGAAATATCTTGATTTCTTAAGTTTCTTTCTCATTATTAAATCTGAATTCTCTCTTCCCTTACTATGTTAACATAATCATGTTACATCGGTCCCTCCACACCATAATGAGGGTGTGAAACTGTTCTGAATTCCTTGTTCAGATAGTGTTGTTGCCTGTCCTTATATTTGTACCTTTCAGGTTGCTGAAATTAGTAGGATATTAAGAAGTGGTGGAGTCTTTGTTGGAACTACGTTTCTTCAATACACTTCTTCCACTCCCTGGATGGTACGACCTTTAAGACAGGTATGACTCCTACAATTAATGTTTTATGAATTAAATTATTTGCAGCCATTAACTTTTTGGAAGATCCTCTTTTGCTTGATACCCTGATCTTTCTTATGATGTTAACAATTAAAAATTTTATAAGTGTAGAAGAGAGTGATCTTGTTTATTTGATATGTTGAATACTTACAAGAGTTGCCTTGACACAACCTCACAAGAATGAATATTTCCAGAAAGTTATTCCCTAATTACAAGATATATTAATCTCTAAACATTCTTGATCTTGACTTGCTTTTTCTGTCATGATTCTTGTTGTAATCCTGGTTCCGTTAACAGTTGAAAAGAGAACTATGTCCAGATTGAGGTTTCGTTACAATTCGTCAGTAATTTTAGGACAATGAAGTCTTTGCAATTCTAAAGTAACTAATGTTTTGGTTGAAGTCTAAATTTGGAAGGAAGAATTAAAATTTAAAATTACCATTTGTACCATCGTGTTGAAATTTTAGATGTTAATCTGTGTTGCAGAGGATTCTGCAGAACTACAGCTACCTGACAGAGGAAGAGATTGAGGACTTGTGCACATCATGTGGTCTTACCAACTATACAAGAAAAGTTAAGCAATCCTTCATAATGTTTTCTGCGCAGAAACCTTGAAAGGTGAAACTAGTTTTGGCCAATTTAAAGTATTAGTTGTTCCATAACTGGCTTTATCATCATCAAGTCAGTCCTCGTGAATTTTTCTATAATCTATAATTAATTTGATAAAGTCTGTCAACCAAGAACTCCTGTAAAGTTTATATAGCCTCGTAAAGATGTGAAGTATATGCTTATTAATGTAATATGAGCAGTATTAGCTGCCTGATACAGTCAGAACTAATGATTGTTTAACGCCATTAAAGTCTCAGCGTTAGAGGCATAACGGCTATTGTAATGGTCCATGTGAACTTGCTGTTGCTTTCTTCCCCGCTCTCTTAATTGTTTACTTGTGTACTTAACAAGCTTTTAACCTGAACCATAGCGAGAGGATGGACTAAAGTTAACCCACATAATGCTGCCATTGGTTTGATTCGGCAGATTTGAATTTAATAATTATATACTGGCATGTAAACAGAATACGAAGCTTTCTGGACATTAAGTTAATGATGGTTATTATATTTATATCTTGTGTGAGGAATTACTATGTGAGCATTTTTAGGTCATGTTTTTTTTTTTATAGAATATAAATATAAATAGTATTTTCTCAAAAATCCTCTAGTCACCTTGCACGTGCAGAATTTGGATGTTGATGTACTATTTACTTTGCTGAAAGTAAGAAAAAAGAATTTTCTCAACGAACTTTTCCTTCCTCATGGTTGACCTTCTTACAGATGATGAGAAGAAAATTGGTCTAAAACTAAAATTTGTGCCTAGAGATGATTTGCAAGAGAGGGATGCTTTTTTGCAAAATAGGTTACGAAATTTATTTCGGACAACTCAAATGACTTAAATGTTACCATGAATCAAAATTTATAAATCCTAATTAAATTACTTTGCTGAAAGTAAGAAAGAGGGATTTTCCCAATGATTCTCGCCTTCCTCACAATTGACTTCCTTGCGGATGGTGAGAAGAACATTGGTCTAAAACTAAAATTTGCACCTACAGACGATTTGCAAGAGAGAGGGATGCTATTTTACAAAATAGGTTACAAAATCTATTTTGGACAACTCCAATAACTTAAACGCTACCATGAACTAAAGTTAATAAATCCTAATTAAACTAAATGACATGCAATCTAAAGTAATTTTGCGAGAACAAGATGTACTCAAATTAAATTAAACATGTTCATTGCCAAATTAAATTGTTATCTACAAATAGATTTGGAAATTAAACTACTATAAATTTTGAGATCTAAACCTAAACAACACTAAAATTAAATATGAACAATGAGTAAAAACTAACATGCTTGAAATTGAGAAAAAACGTGAGCGCTAAGTAATCATTTGATGAAATGTTACTTATCATAAACATTAACCTAATTACAGTTAGAAAATGAACAATATCAAGAAGAAATTCAAAAGCTTGATGTTCAATACATGAAATGAAATTGCTGAAACAATTACTCGAACTAGTTTTGACTACTGGAATGATGAAAAACACCTAGATCTATTGAAAATTGTGCTGAAATCCGAAATCTATAAACAATTGCAAAGATCAACGAAAGTTTGAAAATTTGCAGGTTTTAAGTAGGGTTGACCGAGTGTTCTGTCATCCAAAATTTCCCTTTTGTTCTCCTTTTTCTAGTTATAACTCCCCATTTTTTGCAGTGTCAAAAGTTATAGACAATTTCTTGATGCAGTGGAACACCTCAACAATTAACAGAGTCAAATTGCCTTCCAAATTTCACTACATGCTCTTTTTATCTAATAACTCATACCCATAATTAAAATGTCCTCATAAATTTTAGTTAAAACAAACTTAATTTAACTCAAAAAAGTAATTAAAAGATAAAATCTTTTTTTTTTTTTACCTCCTTCCTTCCAAAACAACAGTTGATTTGTCATAGATCCAGAATTGCGTATCTAATATGATAAAATCTCTTTTATTCATTTAAAAATTTTTGACACGTGGCATGATATTAAATTTTTATAATTTATGGTGTAAACAAATAGCAATTGAATTTTTTTTATAAAATGAAACTAAAAAAAATATACATTTGGGAAAAAAACTATCATTTATATATCGAAAAACTATTTATCAAGATCAAGGTAGACTGTATGTAGTTTGTATGATAAAATTATTTAAATGTCTTTAATTTTTGTTTTATATTATTTTATTAAAAATATTTAAATAAATTTACAAAACAAATTATATATAGTTTGTCTTAAAAAATAATTTTCTCTTTATATATTGTAAAAAAAATTGTCTAAACGTATGTGGACAATCAAATTAGGACTATTAAATAAAATGGAGGCAGTAGTTGAATTGCAAAGTTATTTTTCCAACTAAATGAACGTTGCAAATGCAGTTAAGAGGACTTTAAGAGAAAAATAGAGATTTGGCAAATAATTAATTTTTCTTGATCAGGAATGACTCTGAACCCTGTGTTTTTACCATGTTTTAAGGAAGTCTGGACTCTGGATTCCGGAGGAAAGCAGTGCACGTGGCTTAGTCCTTGAAGATAAGGGCTTACCAATTAATCTAATCTAATATAAACAAAGCCACTGTTTTTTTGTCGGAAAGCAAAGTGAGTGTGTGGACACAGATCTAGAGGGGGCAGTCGGCAGAGAGATCCCCTCGTGCGGCTCGCACGCTGGTTTTGGATCTTTGACGTTTGACCACTCAATAAAATACCCCAGCTTTGACGAGGGAAAGAGGAATAATTTGTCAGTGCTTCAGTTAGATTTTAGGTAAAATTTCGAAAGTTAGGCCATTGGATCCCCTGCACGTGAGGTTCAAGTTTTGTATAAATGTCATTTGCTTCTCACGGCACGTGGGGCCTTTCTTCGATTTTTGTACAGTAATTTCCTTTTTTTCTTGATTCTATTCGATTACAAAGGGCCTCACGTGAATTCTTTTCACTTTTCTATTGGTCGGTTCTGATAATCCAACCACTGTTCGAAAAGTTTACTTATAGTTCCGTTTGTGATTGCAGTTTTTTCTTGAAGTGATATAATATTTTTAAGATATATATAATTATTAATAGTTTTTTAATATGTTTTTTAAAAAACTGTAGAAATTTTACATATGAATATGAAAACTTCATTTTTAAGTTTTTGAGTTATGCGATATCGCAATTTATTATACAAATTATAAAATTACCATGAATAAACTTACTTTATTTAATTAACCTAATTTTTATTTAGTTCTTTCTTAAAAATTTGAAACACCATTTCCTAACTCTTTGGATCTTGTTCCATGTGAGTATTAATTTTTTTTTATCTCATGTTAACTTATTAAGTAGTTTCTAGAAATCAGACATCATACTACATTTTCTAAATTTTAATTAATAGTTATTAAAATTGACCACATATTATGCACAACAATATTGAAAAATAAATAATCAAATACTAATATAACTTTCAATCACAGTTACAATATAATACAATTCAACACGATTAGAGGCACAACTATAGCAACAACACTTCAAAATAATCCCAATCACACGCTTAGACTCTATTCTGTATAGTTGCAAATTTTCATTTTAGCTTTGGTTTTCATAAATTTTGCAATTATTGAAAGCCAAAACTAAAAATCAAAAACTAAAAATTTGTTTAAGAAGAGTTTTAATATTAACAACAAAAAGTATAAACTTGTTTAATAATATTAAAATTATTTTTGTTCTTATTTCTCTAATAATCTAAATGATATGTTGCAAAAGCACATGAAAGCAAATGAATTTTTTTGTTTAGAGTTGTAAAATTTATAAAATTAATAAAAAAAATTAAAATCCATAACCATACTAAATAAAGCCTTACTTGATAGAAATTTTTGTCTCTGCCACTCCAAGCAGTGATTTCCTAAGATGAAGTAGAAATTTCAAGTCTCTATTGTTCTAATTTAGGTAATTAGTGTCTAGCTTTGCTAAGATGTAAGGGCTCCTAGATGAGTTCTTTTGTTGTAGAGTTGGAGTGGCAAGTATGATTACTACGACTCTTTAGAGCATCAAACTAGTAACTACAATTGCATGAGCTAACTTGGCAATCCTCTAATTCGAGGTCAACTACACAAACTACCTGTAAAGACTCAAGGTTTGACCTCAAGGTAGAGACTCCAATACTTAAGTCAACAATAACCTACCCTTAGGTTGAGAACCAAAATATATATGTCTCTAGATCAGGAAAAGTACCTCTATTGAGGACCCCTTTAGGGGTATTTAATATTTATTAGGCTGGAAATGACCTCTATGTTGCTTCTTTGGAGTGATAATTGAGAGATGACATGGAGAATGAGGCAAACTTCTTAGAGGTAGGAATATGATGCTACATTCCTAACATCCTTTCCATGCAACTGTTGATAAGGTGTAAGGTAAGGAGTTCGTCTTGTCAAAGACTTCTTTACTTTGATTGTTCAAGATCAATTAATTTTGGGCATATCCTCAAAGTAACCTTTTTACTCTGTAACATTATTTACTTCTAAGCAACAACAATATAGTCATTAATTTTGTAGGCTAACTCTTATACTTAGTATTGTCGAAAGTACTAGGTCATAGTGGGCATTTCCCCAAAGCCAAGGCACCTAGGTTTTTGGTTTTGGTTAAACATATTGATATAGTCAAGCCAATGCCCACAATTACTTAAGAATTCTTCTTCCAAAGTGAGATTGGGGCATTACACTTGATGTCCTCATCAAGCTCTCTTAGGGCAAATCCAAATAGGCCAACAAACATAAGATCCACCCCAAGTATGTGAGATCCTAGAGGCTAAAACTCAACCATGCCACCATTATCTACTCCAAGTTATTGTCTGACCAACGAGGACTAATCTAATAGCCCATAATAAGGTCTCTTAGCATGGTCTCATGCTTGCAAGGAGAATTGCTCTAATGTTAATTGATATGACCCATGTCAAAGCCCGCTATTAGCCTAACAACTCTTCAAGTCAAGGTTCACAAGTCTTTAAAAGTTCAAGTTTAAGTTTAAGTTATTAATAGTTGTTGGTCTCCAAATTTATATACCATTTACAATCTTACTCTTCTTTCGATGTGGGATTAGGGCATTACACATATAAATATTGGTCCTTGAACTTTTGTACAAAATCCCGAAACTACTAGAGAACACTATTCACCCACATGGATTCACCTTCATAGTTGCCCATGTTGGTGATATTAACCTTTAGCGACATGGTTCATGTCTCTAATGGTCAACCCAACAAAACCATCATTATTTGGGTTGTCAAATAAGTTCCAACACGTAAACCACGTGGGTGAAAATTACAACACCAATGTGAGATTCATTGGAAAGTTCTTCTAGAATTGTTAGTATGTTCCAATAAAAATCACATCGGTGAAAGTTCAAAACACTAATATTGCCTGCATTGGACAATTTTTCTGACTTTATGAGTACATTCCAACGTAAACCACATTGATGTGGCATATGTTAGAAAGTTTTTTTTTGGATAATTGCCCAAAGTAATTGTTGGGAATGCACCAATGAAAATAAATCACCAATGTAATCTACACCAATAAATGTTGGAAAAAAATTTTGATTTTTGTTGCTGCTAATTTTCATCATGCAATCTACATGTCAGTGAAAGTCATGCTACCAAA